TACCTCTAGCAAGCAAAAATGGGTGATACATTGTATAGTGGCATTAAGTACCGTAATGTGCACCTCGGCCTACCCCTTTGGAAATAAAAGGCGTATTAACTTATAATATTTTATGTAAGTTCATATTCGTAGAACGAGACCAAGAGTAAACTTACACAAATTGCACTATCATTACAACATGTCAAGTAACCCAATGATTCACTCACTTAGGGCATTAGACCAATGAACTGTGAACTCATTATTCCACAAATTGCATTAACATTCATAACTCTAGCGCATTCAACTATTCTTATCAATTAACTACAACTAAATGTCTATGAACTTTGAAAATTCTTTGACTATATATTGTTGAGATTAGTTCACAAAATCACAGTCAATTAGGCAAGATGAAGACGTTAACAGTGGTTTTAGTTATAACTGTTCTAGGGATACAAATATCGGGGTACTTAATACAAGTGCCTACTGCACCTCCAGTATTGTTTAGAGATCCTGGTGAGTATCTTTTTAACCGACTTCAAAAAAGGAGATTCTTTGTTCAACCTGTATGTATATATGTATGTATGTATATTTTATATATGTATGTATGTTTGTGCGGGATTATTTCAGGATTGGCTGAACCGATTTCGATCCGTTTTTCAGAAAAGTAGTTGTTGGTGAATTAATAAATTCCTTTGCGCGTGATATTATAAATAGATTTTTTTAGTGTAAATATGTAAATAGTTTACTGCAAGTTACCTATAATTATAATTTTTAATTAATTTAATTTATCTTTTTTTCAGTTCCCTCACAATGGCTACACTTACAAAAGTTGATGATTCCTCTATTCGAAAATGTATGCGAAGACAGTACCGATCCTGTCATACGAAAACTGGCTCAAGATTTCACCATAAACTCTGCAGACTACTTGGTAAGAAAATGTTGCCAACTACTCATTAATTAGGTAACGAATTAAATCATTTTATTTTTCAAACACATCATATTTGTGATTTAATTACAGGAACCAAATGCAATTACAACTTTGCAAAAGCTTATGTCAGCTGGCTTATTGCCCAAGGGAGAAATTTTCAGTGAATATAATCCTGAACATATGAAGCAGCTGAAAATTGTGTACGAAGCTTTTTACTCAGCCAAGAACTTTGATGTGTTTTATAAAGTCGCTGCTTGGGCGAGACAAAATGTAAACTGCGGACTTTACGTGAATGCTATCTACATGGTTATTCAAAGTAGAAAAGATATGGCGAAGTTGTCCATACCAGCGCCATACGAAGTTTTACCAAATTACTTTGTACGTAAAGATGTTCTTATCAAAGCAACTTCCATTCTTAGTGGACAAGAAGTTACCCCAACTGAAGGACTTCACGATGAAGGAAATGCATATTACTTAGATGCCAATTACACTGGCATATTTTACAACAACGAGGATGATTCAAAGTTGGCCTACTTCCGTGAAGATGTTGGATTAAATTCTTATTACTATTTAAGAAAGCTGAGGCTGTCGCCATGGTTTAACAGTAATATTAATGATCGATATGGGGAAAATATTTACCAAATGATGAAACAATTTGGTGCGAGATATAATTTGGAGAGATATGCTAATGGTTTTCCGGAGATAGATGGTATTGACTGGAATTCACTGCCTGATATTCCTTATGATCCAGAATTAGTTTACTCAGATGGGAAGGAATTCAATCACAGGACAATGCCACTAGAATTTCCAGTAAACGATGAAATCACTTTATTACAAACTATAGAAAATAATATAGCAGCTGTCGTTGGTCACATGGTACGTAATTATGTCTAAGCTATAATTATGAACAATGACTTATAATATGTAAATCTTCATAAATACATGTGTTCCCATTAACATTAATTATTAAAGAAACATTTCTTTCAGCGCCAGAGTGGATACAATAAAACACAGATATTAAATCATTTAATGGAAATCCTAGTCACGGGAGAACGGAGTTATGAGACATTGGCTCGCCAGCTCCTTGGCAAAGATCGTACCAACAACGGGTAATTTAAGCATTGATTAATTTGTATTTGATGATGGCTTTATAATAAATAATTACAAACTATTTATGATATACAACTATTTCAGACACGTTTCGGTACTGGAACACTACATGACTTCACTGCGGGATCCAATGTTTTGGAAGATAAACAAGAAAATAGTTGACCTCGTGGATAGTGCTCTAAAACTGTTGCCCACATACTCAAGAAACGAACTATACTTCCCTGGAGTAGAGATCGTAAATATTGACGTGAAAAAGATGATGACAGCGTACGATTACTTTGAGTTCGACGTTACAGACGCACTAAAATTAGACGATAGTAAGTCGACGTTCAACGTTAAAATAGGTCAACCTAGATTAAATCATAAGCCGTTTACAGTCAAACTTAACATATCTTCTCTTGTATCTAAAAAGGGTTTAGTTAAAATTTATTTGGGACCCAAGGTATTGCCTGGAGAACTAGCTGCTAAAAAGAATCTTTTTACTCTACTTGACGTATTTGAAGTAAATCTTAAAGTAGGAACTAATGTAATATCTAGGACATCCGATGACATGCAGCAGTTTTCTTCAGACTTTGTGTCGGTTAAAACTATTCGTAAAAATATTGAAGATGCTGAATTCGGTTTGAATTCTTTACCTTTAAAACGGATTGAAGATCAGATTGGGTATCCAACAAGACTTATTTTACCAAAAGGTCTATCTCAAGGACTACCTATTCAAATGTTTGTGTTTATTGCGCCATTTACTAAAGCCAGTGTTAGCAGTTCATACTCAGCAAGTAACGCAGAATTCAATTCTGCTATTTTATCACCTGGGTATCCTCTAGACTTGATGGTTGAAGATAAACAACTATTCGGATTACCAAACGCACTGATCAAGTATGTTACAATTACTCAAAAAGGTGATAGCAAAGTAGAAAACTATGGAGGACCTGGTGTTACAAAGCAATGGTATGGCACTAACACATATGATCCATCAGCACGACCGAACTATTCTGCAAATACCCGAAAGTCATTTGATTACAATGCTAAGAAAGGATCTTCAAAAACTGACATTGATGACAATGGGGTAAGTGAACATGATATTGCTCTAGAAGATTCCGTGAATTACCTTGAAGAACCTTCAAAAGGAAGCTTTGTACCTAAAGGATTAAATGAGCACAATGTTGAGACAATTCGGTCCTTGAACTTTATGAAGTTTGATACACCGTTAAACAACAATGCAGATGTATCAAAATTAGATAAAAAGGACGAGAATGTCAAACAAATAGACAGTGATAAATATATTACTGTAAAAAATGAAAAAGATGATACAGAAGTGGTTGTACCAGAAAAGGCAAATGTTGAATCTGATATTGAAAGTAAAAACCAGGAAATATTAACTATGCCACGTCTGCTAAAGTCATCGGCACAATATGACTATGCATCGAAGTCTAAATATAGGGAATCATTCGATTACAAAGCAAAGAAGGCGCAATTTGATAAGAAAGATTATACTTCAACAAGAGTAGATTACAAAAAATATAACTCATACAAGCCACCAGTAGAAAAAGAAAACTTAATTGGTACTACACCGGCGGCTGTAATAGACGAAGATGTTGATAATGATGAAGATATAGTTGATATACTAATGGATCAACCATCATATCAACCAAAGATTGAAGACTATGTATCTAAGAGAAAAGAACAATATGATTATAAAGCGAAGAAAGCGCAATATGAAAAGAAAGATTATTCAGCAAAAAGAGACAACAAGAAATATGACTCATTTAAACAAGAAGAAGATCATGCGGCTACTCCAGCAGCATCTTTAGTAAAAGATGATGTTAATAATAATCAAGAAAACATCAAAATTTTATTGGATAAACCATCGTATCACCCAATAAATGATTACTCTTCTAAGAGAAAAGAACAGTATGATTACAAGGCTAAGAAAGCACAATTTGATAAGAAAGATTATTCAGCAAAAAGAGGAGATTACAAAAAATATCACTCATCGACGCTACCAGTCGAAGAAGAAAATCTGATTTCTACTACATCAGCAGCTTTAATAAAGGATGATTATTTTAATGGTGAAGAAAATGTCGATATTTTGGTAAATCCATCGTATCAACCAAAAAATGATGGCTATGCATCTAAAAGAAAAGAAAACTATGATTATAAAGCGAAGAAAGCGCAATATGAAAAAAAAGATTATTCAGCAAAAAGAGACAAGAAGAAATATGACTCATTTAAACAAGAAAAAGATCATGTGGCTACTCCAGCAGCAACTTTAGTAAAAGATGATGTTAATAATAATGAAGAAAACATCGAAATTTTAACGGTTAAACCATCGTATCACCCAATAAATGATTACGATTCTAAGATAAAAGAACAGTATGATTACAAATCTAAGAAAGCACAATTTAATAAGAAAGATTGTTCAACCAAAAGAGGAGACTACTACAAATATCGTACTGTGCCACCGACAGAAGAAAAATTCACCACAGAATCAGTTAACCTTATACCTGAAGACACAAATGATATTATAGCAAGAGTTCAACTAGAGAAGGATGATAATAATTTAGATCTTATAAGCGAAATCAAAGAAAATAACGTTGATGTTTTAAATAAAAAAGATGACAATGATTTGGCTCCTAAAGAACTTGTCGATACTAATGTAATCGAAATCTTTGATCCATTCCGGTTCGATGTAAGAAGACGTACTCCCACTGTATACGACTTTTTGTTTCACACATTTGATTATGACAGCCCTGATAATAAAGTGTACGAATAAAATTTTATATCATAAAATATTTCATAAGATAGTTTACAATGATTTTTATAGAAGTGTGTATGTGTACTACTAAATGAAATTATTGGTTTTTGTTGAAATAAATAGTTACATTAAATATTTCTGACTTGTCTCATTTCTTCCTTTTAATTCTTAGTACATAGAACGATCACAAGTCGACATCGTAGGTATTTATGACGGAATATTCTTAACATAATATGAATGACGCCCACATGGCACTAATCTTTTATTTGTGAACGCCAAATTAAAGAAACATAAACAAGTTCATGAGCCACCTAATAAATTGTTAACAAGGCATTTACACCATCACCTGTAACAAGGAACTTTAAAACATATAACATTTATGATAAAACCCATAAAACTCTTTGATCACAACACATGTGGCTGATATTCATTGATCGTTAAAGTAAAAACGTATATTATAACAAGGGGAATGAATGCACATTATTGCTATTTCGCGAGGTTTTCTATCATTATTTTTGGAGACGTTCCAAACATTTTACAACGACGTTACGCTTTCCCTATTTTCATCGCGGAAAATTTAAAAACCATCGGTCACCACTGTGACAACAGCTAGAATACAAATAGAAAATACTTTTACAGTTGATTACAAAGTCTTTACAAAGCACACGATACAATAACCAATAACTATATTGACTCTAAATAAATATTGAGTTAGAATCCATGGCGGTATATCTAAATTTAAAATAGAAACAGAGAATCTTGTATATTGGTATTGTATATTTTGATAGCATCAGGTAAACAATATTGATTACATCTGGTATAAACACAAATAAAACTTTATGATGGATCGTTAAAGTCAAACGGTGTACATACATTTTCTCGACACACAAATATTCATAAATTCTTGCAAATCATATTTCCTCGTTATACTGAAAGAATTACAGCAATAAATTAAAATTATACTCTGTGAGGCTTAACTTAGATTTGCTATTGACGGCTGCAGTGTTATGAATAATAAAATAAAAATGAGTTTATAGGTTCTCTAACAAGCTTATTATTCTAACTATATTGTTTTCTAAAGTCATACAAATCCGCCTTATGATTTTTTGAAAGCTGTTTTTTATACAGTATAGTATAGTCTTACTATAAGTATGCATCAGAAAACAAATGAAGTAGTATGACAAAGCGAACGAAATAAGACAAAACAAATGAAAAATAAAAATGCACATCAAAGTATCTGAGAACTATTTCAAGATTTATTTACATTTGGCTCCGAGGTATCAGCCGATGGATTTTGCAAGGAAAATCCTGTATTCTGTGCCAAAATGAAGTTATATTTCCACTCCATTGACGCTGATGATTCAGGGTACCGACAACCCTGTTCAAAATTTTGGCTATGATTACCAATTATTTTCATTATGGAATGTTAAGTCGGTGTAAATTAGTCAAATGTCAGTTACGCATCGGCAAATAAATTTAATAAGTCCCTGCTTGCAACTGACGGTCGGGCTGTAAAATTATTAGCGCATTTATTTACGATTGCTCGTTTCCTGCTATTCTATGCTTTATATTTGTCATATATATTTTATTGCACTTCAATCTCGACTAATGGGTTTATTATGTGAATTTAAATTGTGATTAAAACATAAAAAAATCCCATACGTGGAAATTGTTGTTTGTTTTTGTTTCTGATTATTTATAAGGGAAGAAATTTATACAGTTCGTATCTGACCGACATAAAATAATATTTTAAATGCAATAAGTTAAAATGCATACAAATATTTAGTAAATGATGCCACAACTTCACGGGATGATCTTTGCAATAATTGATTTATTTTTGAGTTCAAAAATGGGAAATAGGTAAGTATTCTAACATTACAAAGTTCTGTTGATGGCTACTAAAACTAAACATCTAACTAACTTAAACTAAACATCAATAACATTGAAATAGGAAACCAAATAAACTTAGCATTAACAAACCGACAGTTCAATATGATTAAATGAGGTACTAAATGAATAATGTTACATGATACACCGATATCTTGTCCCATTTGTTTTCAATATTCCGAAAACATACCACATGTCTTGATTGAGTACGAAAATAACAAGAGTGTAGTGTTTCTTAAAATATTATTAATGTCCAACTATAATTATTGCTGACAAACTCAGTGAAGTTGTTTTAAAAATTATTTCAATCACTTCGCAGTTAAATATTAATATAATACGAATCAAAACAAAAAATTAAAAAAGAAATACGACTGTGTTTACAGAATCTCAAAAGCTGAAATCTGACGTTATTATCATAATAATGCTTCGTCAAAACTATTCATCACTTGAATTGTGAGTTTCGATAAAATTTCTAACGCTTTATTTACTGCTTTCTAAGGAATCCGGTGACGAGAATAACGTCACATTAATATCAAATGGTTTAAAAATAAACTTGTAACCTGACCTAATTTCGTCGAGTATTGTTGTTTTAAGACTACACGTGGTCGACACGTAAAGCGCGACTCAGATTGGATGTTTCTCTCATTGTGGCATTCACATGAGAACACAAAAATTATAGCCGATCACCGACAGTCTATATCTGCTTCGGCGCCGCAGTATAACCCGTTTCACGCGCCAGTGGTCGCCAATCGACGGCCATCCGTACACTAGCTGGTGTATTCAAATATTTACATCCGCACTATATCATTATATTACTTTAATCTTGATTTTTAATTTATCTGTTATACCATAAAATCAGTTGTGGTTTTGGATTTTATTTTGATTTTGAATTTAGGTATTATTTTTTGTAAATTAATGATATATTGCCTTGCTGATATTCAATGAAAGCATACAAAATTAAAGATAATATTAACTTGTCAAGTATTTTACTTTTAAAAGTGGGGATTACAAAGTTATGTAAAATCATACGTATCTAAATCTATCAATTGATTTTTTAAGCAAATGTATTTATATGTTCTGATAAAGAAAAAAAAACTAATGTACTAAAAAATTAAAAACAAAAAATTAAGAATTGAAAACGACAAAAAAGTTGATGGCGCCTGGCAATGACGTCGCAACACGTAATATTCTCGTCGGGATTGTTGTGAATCGGCGGCCGCATCAAAGGAATTTCCTGCTCTTAATCAAGGAACAGCTTTATAAGCGCAACACTTTCTGCTACGTTTTAAACTGGACATATTGAACATGTTTAGTTTCACGTGTTGTAATCGAGTACTGACACCACTAATCCTTTTACAAAACTCCCCCTTTTACAGGATTCATGAACATTCCACTTTCTACAAAGCTGACAATATTTTATGCATATTGCCAGATTGACTACATCTTATTCATGAATAATACTTATAATCGGAAATCTACAATACATGCATTTCACGTTACATTTTGAGTTGGCTAAAGTAACAAAAAATGTGACGGGTGAGCACTTTATTAATCTCTCACTTACGAAGCAACGTAGAAACAAATACGTCATTGTTATTGAAACGCCAAACGATCCTGGAATAATGGATTTCAGAAACTTCGACAACAACTATCATGATGCCATAAATAGACCACATCATCTCTGTTCCTACGTGTGAGTCGATGTCAATTAGTTTATATAAATCTGACAGCTCACTTCCTGCAGAATGCAGGTTTCGCTAAGCATTCCCAGCATCTGACGTAGATATAATTCACGCTGACGAAGAACTCAATAATCACGTCACTATTCTGAACGTGTACGATGGAGAGAGAGACAGCAGCTTTTTCACTTATTTTTGTATTTCAGTCAGAGGAGGAAGGAATGCTATAAATAAGGGTGCTACACCGACGTAAAATCTAGTGTAACAACACTCGCACTCGGATTCGGTTCTTGTTACAACTGCCAACCCTACACAAACACCATGGTGAGGATCTGCAGGATTCCAAATATTAAACACACTGGACGTGAATGTGACAGTTATTTGTGATGAATCAAAAAGTGTAAAAAATTATTCAATAACCAATATGGAGCTTGTTATGGAAAATTTATACGCGAAGTGAATATTATCAATTTCTTCAAAGGATTGCAAAATTTTTTTTCTAAACCAACAGTCCTTCTCGTCGTCAAATCAGATTTAACTCGACTAATATCAATAATCTCTGCCTCTAGGACACTGATGATGACCAGAAGATGGCCATGCTGCGCAAGGCCTTCCAGATGTTTGACACCACTAAGTCAGGATACATCGATGTCCTGAAGATCTCAACCATCCTCAACACCATGGGCCAGCTCTTCGATGACTCTGAACTGCAGGCTCTCATCGATGAAAATGACCCAGAAAGTGAGTTTTTTTAGTAACATTATAATTATTTATTATTTATTTACATACAATAATGTTTATCCTCTTCATATTATATCCAATTTTCAATCTTATGTCAAAATTTGGCGTTAATTATCGGAAAATGTTTACACTTTAGTTTAAAAATGGTATCAATTGTATTGGAATGTATTATTGAAAATGTTTGCGTCATTACTAACAGTTACGAAAATTTTTCTATAAAATTTATTATTCTGAAAATCCAACAAGCGAAGTAAAAGTGTATGAGTGCTAAAAAAAATGGGAACAACAACTATCGTAACAGCTGCAAAGATATCTTGTTAAAAAGTCATCCATCATCAGAATACACTAACAAGAATTCACACGTACCGAGGCTACGACACCTTTTCGAATATACTCTCGAATATTTTTACTCGTCGCGTGAACTAATGAGGCTATTTCCGTACGGTAGTTCTCTCTGAGTTACCAGTCCCTTTGAAAGATGCATGTCTCTGTATCCACGTTTATTTATCTAGTCCGTCTTCAATACAGCGCTCAAGGTTCAAAACATTCCTAGCTATAGTAACAAGCTAATTGTTTCTTTATTTTAGACTCCGGCAAGATTAACTTCGATGGCTTCTGCAACATCGCTTCCCACTTCTTGGAGGAGGAAGACGCAGAAGCTATGCAACAGGAACTGAAAGAAGCCTTCAGGTGAGTGTTTGTTTAATATGAAACACAAGTCACATGTACATAAATTATGATTTATATACATGGATCACACACTTAGTTTGACTAAACGTTACGTTTCATTAATCTCCAGGTTGTACGATCGTGAAGGAAACGGATACATTACCACCTCTACTCTGAAGGAGATCCTGGCTGCCCTTGACGACAAGCTCAGCTCAAGCGATTTGGACGGCATCATCGCTGAAATTGATACTGACGGATCCGGAACCGTCGACTTCGATGGTAAATACTTCTTCTCTGACTTTAATAAATTGTTCATAAACATCACTAAATCACTATAATGTTCCAAATTATTATTACAATGTTATTGGAATATTGGCTGGAGGTCTGCCCACATTTTGTCTCGACGCCAAGACAGGCCTCCGCAGTTAACACGCAGTTACCTGATGTCGTTTCGTCGACAGTGGTGTCCAAAGCGTGAACATAACAATTTGGCCACGTATCAACCTACGCCAGCTACTCTAGCAATATATTATTAAAAAATACGAAAACGTCCGTTAGACTAAAACAAAATTCCGTTTGGAGGTGATTACTAGCTGGTTGGCATAGCAGCTGCTTTTGAAGATGAACTATAGCATAAATTTTCGCAAAAACAACATGGATAGGTACATAAACATCCCACCCTGAGACTAATGCCGAAACATTACTAGCGCACTGAAAAGGCGGGCGGTATGTGACGCTTTAAATTTATGGTCTTCCATAAGCACATTGCGATATTAATTTATTGATTCTAATTCTCTGTTTGTTTTGAATCAAGATCAAAAGCGTCTAATGTACGTAATAGTCTTTTGACAAAAACTTTTAAGTGATTCCACCTATTTATCAAACGATGAAAGTATGCGGAATCTAGAACTATAATACGATGTTTTTTTCACCTGAATCACTAGTGATATTTGTTATAATATTTTTTTATATTTTATTTTTATGATCTAAACATTATTTTATTTTGTTTCAGAATTCATGGAGATGATGACTGGGGACTAAGCAAATCGTCGTTCACTATTATTTTTATAGTATTATTATGTTTAGATGCTATTTTTATTGTATTTAAAAATTAAGACTTTGACACTAGTACAAAACCATATGCGGTATTAGCATGGTTGTTTAATTAATTTGCACATTTTACTCTATCTTATAGATAGGCACTAATTAATTTTAATAGTCTACAAGGGTAGGCCAGGCATAACTCGAGTTCGTTCCAAAGAATTATTTCCGGAATAATTTACACGTAACGAATTCTCAAACAATTATATGCTAATATTTATAACGCATTGCACTTTATTTTGAAAGTATCCCTTTAAAAAACCTCATGATTATAACGCCAATACACGAAACAACAGTCTTTCTTCTTGTTTCAATTATGTATTGTTTTGACCTTGACCTGAATATTCCCTCAAACTCCTTTTAGTTTGCGACCACTCGCAGTACGGAGCACACTGGCTTTGTTGATCAAAGGAACAGAAATACCACACTAGTGTCTAGTGATTTATTATGATTTATACATCCCAGTGGGCTGTTATGTAAGCATATAGTTCTAAATATTTCCACTGGCACATTCTATATTTCTGTTTTATACGGTAATTGAGTTTGAGAGTGAAGAATTGCTTGTTGACCAAAATTAGCCGTGTTCCAAGACTCGCAATTGAAAAATTGTCCAATTGCATTTTGTTTCCTGTGGGTTAAGTACAGTGGAGGACAGAATAACGGGCCAGTGCACATTTTCCTCAATGCTACTATTACGTTCGTTAGTGTACTTTGATTTTTTCACTCAATTAGCTTCAGTGCCATAGATTTCAACAGAATTGAATACTAAAAACTTTTATCCCTCTTACCTAAATGACTTAAATGGTTTCATATTATTATTTTTTAAGCTGAAATGATTTCTATTATAATATCTCCGTGTAGTAGTAGTGTAGAATAAATAATTATTTATCGATAAATATATAATGAAAAAATAAATAATTATTTATCTTAACAACAAGATACTATTTTCGATCACTTGCATCGATTCTTTTGCATCTGTCCATGCATGTCATTAGGAATTTAAATGGAAATTGAAATATGATTCTCTAATTTTTTATGTAGAGAACTATAGTCTACTACAATATATAACATAACATAACTTCACGGCTGTCTCCCGTGGGAGTAGGCAGAGAATGTGGAACGCCAATTACTACGATTCCTATTACAACTGCAATAAAACACATGAAAATCGAAAAATCTATTGTAACTTCTAATCCGAAAAAATATCAGGTCGCGAATAGCTGTTACCTACTTGGCTGATTATGCTCATTATTTTACCCTTGAAGTCTACGTCTAAACCTATTTAACAGTTTAAGTAGTTGTATCGCATCATTCATTACGTTTTGTTTTCCCGTAAAAGGCATACTGAGATGAAACAACCGGTTATAGTTATCATTTTAATTTTTGTGTTATTACCATAAAGTATTAAAAATTTAGCAGTGATGATAAGAAATACAACGATGGATTACTTCGAAAATCTGATCTCGAGTGTACAATGAAAATTGTCCCCATTAAAGCGACCCTCAGGACGTCAATTGGATCAGTAGAAATACTGTTATGAATCCTCGTGTGCATATAAGCCATGTTTAACTATTTACAACACTAGTTGAGTGGTGTTAGTCGTTGTGATGTTTCGATTTACCTTAATATTATGGCTTGCTTTAGGACTATGCAAGTCAGCACCAGTAGACGAATTCAACGGTTTTATAAACCAAGGAGGTATGTGTTAATTCTGTGTTTATAAATATTTTTATTGTGTCAAGTGCCAAGGTTAGTCTAATGGCTTCATAGCATATTATGCTATGCACTTATTAAGTGCAACTGGCAATGAATTACGAATTATATTGCCTGATCGTTTTCTCTTTATTGTTGCCTAGAACATAAACAATGTAATGGACTGCGTGTGTCGAATTCCTTGTGATTCCATTGTACTAATTACTGCTTCCATACTTTTTATTCTTCGCATTCCTATTGAAACCAGTACCAGTGTTTAAAAAATAAGTATCACATTTTATATAAGCAACTGTTCTAAAGTTACATAATGATCGCAAAGATATGATAAAAAATAATTTTAAAATTGAATGCCCTACTTTCTTGTTTGTAACTGTGATTCCTTTTTAGATAGATGTATTTTTCATATCTGTATAAATTATTACTTTTCAGAATTGTCTGCTAATCCTGATGGAGACTTAACGGGAATTGTGCCTGGATACCTTCCTCAGGGATCTCAAAAATCTGATCTGTTTAGTGGCTTATTGGGGGTAACTAGCTGAATATTTGATCATCATTTTGCTTTGTGAATACAAATATTAATGTATTTAACGCATATCTAATACATTGTTTTCAGTTACACAGTGAATACGTAAGCTTAACAGATTTCATCCAAAAAAGTGCCACATTAAAAGGTCTTACTTTTAATATCTACAATGAGGATATGAAAGATGTTGCCAATGGTTTATTTAAATTACTATATAACGCAGAAGATTTTGGCTATGATATTGAAAAGATAATAAATTTAAATGAATTTAATGATGACTTAGTAACGTACGCAAAACAAATAAACTTGTTGTATAGGGACAAGAAATTTAATGTCGATGAATATCCACCACCTTTCATTACAAAACCCAACCATTTTGTAAATGGTGAAACTATAGTAAAAGCTTTGAAACTTGCAAACTACATTAACAATGACATAGATATCACAGATGAGGCTAATGTTGACCAGTATTTCAAGACTTATGATATTCTCACAATTAATTCTAACTATTCTGGTTGGAATCTGCCAGAGAATGGAGGTGAAGAGTCATTGAACTACTTCAGAGAAGACATAGGATTGAATAGTTACTACTATGGCATGCACTTGATGCATCCTTTCTGGTTGATTCATAATAAATTGTATACGGCAAATTCAAGGTCAGATGAACATTACTATTACATTCACCAGCAGCTGGCATCACGTTTATATCTTGAGAAAGAACATTTGCGACAGGAAAACGTAACTAAGAAAACTGAATTTGGTGACTACCATCCTTATTTAATTCATGAGAATGGATTGCCTTTCCCGACCAGGTCAGGAACAATGGGAGACTGGAATGAAGATAGAGCTAAAATTAAATCTATTGACATTGCTATTAAAGAGTGTATGGCAAGGAGATTAATTGTAATAGTAAGTAAATATATAATTAAGTAAGATATAAAGTAATTAGAAATTGTCATTTCCTTCATGCGTCCATTTAATTACAGGACAGGAAAACTATAGAATTAACTGAAGAAAATTATGTGAAATTACTGACTCGACTATTCAGAGGTAATTTTGAGGTTGGCAAAGTTTCTAAAGTTATAAGGTCTTTGTTTGGTTATGGTGGAAATGGATATCCAATTGAAGGGTAAGATGTCATTTGTTTACTTATACGTATAAAAACCGCTATCATTACTAAATTCTTCTGGTATTCCACAGTCACAAAAAGATTACGTTTTACAATTTATAAAAAAACTGTTATCACCCATACAAAATTATGAAAGTTATAAAATAGTAAGTATAAAATTCTCCAAAATGTAATAAATAAGACAATTTGAAACTATTGTTATTTTGCAGATATAACCCAGCACCATCTTTACTACATCATCCAGAAACATCATTAAGAGATCCAATATACTGGTACATGATGCAATACGTTATCAACTACTTTACTGAATTCACGGAGTTCATCGAACCACTTTATATGCAGAAGGATGATGCCACAAAACATTGTGAAATTATTGAAGCTGATTTACCAAAAATAACAACTTATTTTAACTACTACCAATTTGATATCAGCAATGCTGTCTTCAAAACAGATTCTCCAGACGATAGAATGCCTTTGACAATAACAGCGCGACAGAAAAGACTTAAACATTCCAAGTTCGAATTTAACTTTACCGTTGATTGTACCGGTGTGAAGGATACTATTGTTCGATTGTTCCTTGGGCCACCCTGTACTGACAGATGCTGGGAGGAATATGCACACTTTTTCGAACTCGATAAGTTTGCCTTTGCTCCCGCAGAAGAAGGATTGAGCACCATAATCTGGTCACCAGAGATCTCAACTAGATTCTCAGATGACGAATATTATAATTTGGAAGGCTCATCACCACAAACAGATACAAAAAATAATTATAATCTGTTTAAGTTTCCAGAAAATCTTATAATCCCTAGAGGTACTCCAAATGGACTGAATCTTACATTATTTATCATGATTACGCCAGCTGATGAATATTTAGATGAACATACTTTTATCAAATTCTTTCGCGAAATTAGAAACGATCTTGACAATAAACCTGCAGGGTATCCCTTTAATAGGCCAGCAGTTGGGTACTATGACGATGCTCCTAATTACAAATTCTATAACATCACAATATATCATAAGAAAAACCACATTTCGAAAAATGGTTACTTCTCACCTCACTTGCATTAAATGTGTTGTGATTTTCTTTGATTGGACATTAGAAATTATTATTATTAGAAATTAATAAAGTATAGTCTATATGCTCATGTTATTTGATTCTTGCCTTTTTAATGTAAACTTACCCGTAGCCGCTAGCCGAACTGAAATAACTTCAATAGCTATTGTCGCTTTGTATTGAAATGCATAGTAATATTAGAGACTGTGATCGATTAGGATTAAAAAACTAAGAAAGAACAATAATTATAAAAATAGTTTAATTCCATTGCAATTTCAATTGTTTGTGTTGGTCTAAATTAAAGTACTTTAGTTAATATAATATCACTGTATTGGGCGCGATTGGAAATATGTAGGAACATTCAGCTCATAAGAGAAATATGGACCTTTGTGGTAGATTTGTACTTCCTCGTAAAACATGTTGGGTTGTCCATAGTAAGTCTCACGAACAGGACGGTCAAATGGATATCCAAAGGGCTTATTTTCCAATATGTAGTTTTGGAAAGGATTGTCACCCGTTTGGTTGTTGTATGGGTAAATAAATACAAACAACTGTAATGAAAAACCACCGGGTGTACCCTTGGGTAACATCAATCTCCTGGGAATATTGTCTGGCTGAACAGACATATCATAAGGTACCTTTCCCTGATCTAACCACTGGTATATTTCTTTAATAGGTATAGAGTCATCTTTGAAGAATAAAAATTCACTTGAATTGCGTTCTACTTTGTTCTCCCCAATAACAAGCTTGTACACAAACCAGTCCAATTCACAGAATCTCGTCCAGCTTTCTTCAATGTTAGTTGGGTATCCGGTGGGATCATATTTGGGTCCAATGAAAATCTTAAAGGCGGCATCTGTCTCTACAGTAGAAGTGACTTCAACTTTTATGGTGAACGGTTTCTGATTTAGTCGAGGTTGACGAATAACATAGGTAGTAGGATAAGAAATAAGTTCATCCTGACTGAAATAGACACCACTCGTGGCGTTAAAGTCAAAATAATCGAAGTAAGTGACTAACTCACTAATTTTCACATCATTAATCTTAACTCCCTCGAAGTGAAGGTCATTGTACTCATACGGATCCAGATATTCCTTGTACTCAATAAGATAGTTAATGATTCTCTGATAAAGCTGGTAGAATGCAGGATCACGCAGTGAAGTCTGGTAGAAATCCAGAGCAGTAGGCAAAAAATCATATCTGTAATAAAAATACCAAATTCATGTTTACATGCATACTGATTTAAAATGGTATTTACTGTTTGTGAAATTGTTAATACTTATTTTCGCAAGTACATGTAAACTCAAAAGTGCTAAAAATCTTATCTATAGTTATCTATTCTATCTAAATAATATATTATAATAACACTGTAGAAGTGGAAATTCTGTACATTGACAGTATAAAAAAAATATTTAATTTCTAGATAGAAAGAAACCAGATTCGAAAATTTATAAAAAAAAATTGTCGGTCTGTCTGTATGTATCTTCACGCATCACGCAAAAACTACCTTTCCGATAATGATTAAACTCGGTAGAATTATGCTTTTTATCCTGAAAAAATATATACACGAAAAAACAAACTTAATTGTGTGGCTATATCCCTAGACACAGTTATACACAAATATAAGTTTGTCGAATGTTAGGTTACCCGCATTGGACCTTACATAGTAAATGTAAGGCCAATGGTCAATATTTGCTTGAACCGCTATTGTAGATGTGAAAATTAGTGTTTTTGTAAATATATGTTTGTAACTCAGTCACATCAAAGTGGCTGAAGGAACCGGTATGAAATTTGAAATAGAGGTAGATTCGATAATCTATATGTGTAGACTACTTTTCACCCCCGGGAACGCGGGCGACGCCGCTGGGAGAAATATTTTTTAAATATTTTTATTAAATTTTAAATACTTACTTGGCAACAGGTTTGGGGCTAGCACCAAGGACGTGACGAGCAATGATTTCATAAGAATACTGGTGAAGATCCTTGTTAATTTTCTCGTCGTTTAGATTCGAATTCGTATGCCAATAATTTCCAATGAAGTTCAGTTGCTTCTCAGGCTGAAAGTTTTTGAATAAGATGATATTTTAGTAACAGACTGTACTGTACTCATATCTTGAAACTGAATTTATATATACTTACAGATTTAAATTCAGCCTTTTGAAGAAATTGAGAAAATGTTTTCTCATAGGCATCTAGGAAGCGAATGTAATCGTAGGTGTTTTCATTATGTATTTCATAATCGTTACTTCTTTGGGCGAAAGGCAGGAAGTTTCCTGTCAATTGTGGGTAGTATCCAGTTTCAAATTTAGAGTACCATGAGAACTCAGGAATTTCCCCCAATCCATTTGTAAGACGCTCCAAATAATACCGTGCTAGAAGTTGCTGATAGTAGTAGAAGAAAAATTCACCAGTGCGATTCTTTAGGATACTTAGTTTTTCAATTTTCCACCAGAAAGGCATGTGTGTGTGGAAGTAGTAGTAGTATGAGTTCAAGCCGATATCTTCAGTGAAGTATGACAACTTTTGCTCCTGGTTTGGATAAGTTAAGCCGTTGGAATAATTGGCGTAGTATACATATGAGTGATTCTCTTTCACAATGCCGTAATAGGCTGCAGCCTCACCATTGAACACACCACCCTGCATTTTGGTACGGTACATTCTTAACAAAACTTCTTTGTTGAAGAAAAACTGCGGGTAGATTTCATAGGGAGCTGGAAGAATGATGCCAGTAGTATCTCCTCTTTGTACCACGGCGATGTAGCAGGCATATAAAAACTGTTCTTCATTCATGTGGATTTTTGCCCAGGATGCAGTTTTATAGAAGGTGTCAAAGTCATTAGCGTAGTACATCATGTAAAACATGGCGACGGCTTCATTCCTCATCCTTTCGTAGAACACGGAAAATTTATGATATTTTGGCAGAAAACCTGCTTTGAATAATATCAAGAATTCCTTAACAGCGTCTTTGTTCTGTAAAATTTATGAGATTAAGTGAATGAAATCCTGAAATATTATGTGACTAGCTTTTACCCGCGGCTTCGCTCGCGTCACAATAGGATAAAAGTAGCCTATGTGACATATACCAATACACACAGCGCCATCTATACCAATTCTTTTGTTTTCCCTCGGGAATATCAAAATTCAAATCAATCGGTTTAGTAGTTACGGCGTGAAAGTGAAACAAACAAACAAACTCACTTTCTGATTTATAATATTATAGTAAGGATATAATTATTTTCTATAATACTTACGCTGTAATTGTCGATGTTAGCCTCAATATTATAATATTTACCAAGTTGATAATATTCAGAGTGGATGTCTAATTGTTCTGAATGTTCAAAAAGGGCCAAAATTTGTTTTTGACGCTCAATAAATGGCTCTTCAACTGAAATGAACATTTTTATTTCTGTTAGAGTTGCACTATTCACCCTATTTAACACATTCTGTATGGTGAAACTAACTCTTTAATGAATGATTACAATTTCTGGATTAGGCACATTACCATTGGGCTTATATTCCTCAGGTAAGAAATAAGTCTATTTAAGTACACGGATCTCAAAGCCACCAAAAGTCTCAAAGAGCCCTATAATAAAAAATGAAATAAACTTACCATACTTTGTTTTGAGATTTTCGTGAGGAAGGGCTCCTCCCTTCACCAGGGCAATGAACCCTGCCAATATAAGGACAGTCTTCATCTCGTTACAACTACTGCAAACTGTGACACACATCAGGACGATCCACTTTTATATTGAAGATGTATCGCGTTGTTGAATGAATACGATATTGAAATGTTATACTTTCTTTAGCTCCATCAAGCTGTTTAACTTTTGATTCAAATCTCACTTTCTTTGCGACAGTTAACCCAGTTACCGATCGTGTGCGTATCCTATCCTAACGGCGACTGAATCGTATAAATAGTTTCATTTTCATTTTACCATCCAGATTACTGTAAACTATTTACTTTCATGACCAACAAGTCATTATGTTTACAAACACAATAATCTATTGTATGTTTCACTTCAACATTGCTAATTACTCACTGTTTCAGACATATTTCAAATGGCTTGGCTTCCATTTGGAATAGTTGTCACTTTTTGCATTGCATCTGCACGTGGTGCGCATTTATCAAATTCACTTAAATAAATTGTTGAGTCGTCGTGAAATACTGTTTGGAGTTCTAATTGTGAAAAAAACTGATTATACATTTTAATAAAGTTGAAGCCATTATACGTATAAGAATTGAGTTGTTATTTTTAACGGCTCAAAGGTAGCAGCTGCTGCCTAATATGTACTGTAGAAGTTCGATTGTACTAGGTGATTATATATGAATTATTGAACAGTTCCATAAATTGATTTTGTCATTGTATTTTAAATTTTCAGTCGGTTTCTAGATCTGTGACAGATGTTTCTTCTATATTTACATCATCAGATCAGATTAGATTAAAATTTTATCAAAAATGTTTCGACATAATACATTCATAGTTCGAGATAAAATATATTGAACGTGATTCACTAAAACGATTCACAGCTACTGAAAACATTTGTCCCACATAATATCTCGTATATAAAACCCTAGATCAATACCAACAGACCAGGACAGTTCACTGTTGTACTATATAACACTTCTAACTACATGTGGCATGAAGGAATGATTTTCTTCACACCCTAGCCGTCGCGAGAGTCACTCTGGGCGTCGGGGATCACGAGACGATCTCCGGCCATCGTAAGCACAGGCCACGAGGAACACGAGTGACTTGCCGCCCGACCAGAACCAGACCCGAGCATATGGCGCATCGTGTGTAATAGGGCTGATACTGATACGGAGCCGCGAAGGACTTAACGTGCCGACACTCCGGCTCGAAGTGCACGAGTAGGAACGGGGTGGTTTTAAGTCAGTAAGAGTCTGACACTCCCTCTCACCTCACCCGAGCAGGAGAAGTCATTGGATGATTTTTTCCCGTGTAAAAAATACTACATATATGAGGCTTTGCCATAGTGTCACGCTGAGCAGAGGTGTTGAAGATCGCTGTTCAGATCTATCAAAAAGAGTTGCCGTCCAATCTTTATAATTTTTTTATTGATAATACATAATAATATTAAGTGAAAATAATGTTATCAAACACCTATTTTACTATATTATGTAGTATCCTACAGTAATATACATATATCTATACTAATATTATAAAGAGGTAAGATTTGATTTTTTGTTTGTTTGAATTGAATAGGTTCCAAAACAAATGGACCTATTTGTAAAATTGGGGGAACTACGTGTTAAAGTCCCGGGACTCTCTATCTATTAAACAGCTGTAATTATTTGATTGAAATTCAATACAACAATAGTTTGCGACCTGGGAAACGACTTGTTATTATTTTTATTACTGAAACCTCCCGGAAACGGGCACTGTACGGGTAAAACCCGCATTTCTTCACAAGAAATGTAAGTCACTTACTGAACCGATTCCGATGACATTTGTTATAGCCATAGAATATGCCTCGGAAAAGACTAATCCAAATTCTGCCTGAAGTCATTATTCGCCGTCGAAGGCCAAAACCATTTATTAACCATTCATCTTATAAAATAATCTGTCTTCTTTTTTCCCTCTTATAAGATATATAAAAGATTCAAATTAAATAATTAGCAACCAATGTAAGCAAGGATGCAAGGCGCATCCAACCGGATTATCTGGAAGTCATTGGGGGAGGCCTATGTGTAGCAGTGGACGTCTAATGGCTAAACTGAAGATAATGAATGTAAACAGCTTATCTTATGCCATCATTTAACAAAATAGGACGCAAAATAAAAGTAAATATACTTAAACACAATTTATTATTGTAATAACTATCGTAGGACATACTAAATTAACTAATAATCGGGGGCTACTCACGTGAAAATACTGAGAAAAGGTCTACTAGTTTCGAACCACAGAGGGGTTATTCCTTATGAGCAGCGTGTGCGGTCGCACAGTATCGCGCAGCGTACTTACCCCTCTGTGTTTCGAAACTAGTGGAGCTTTTCTCAGTATTTTCACAGAAGTAACCCGCGGTGTTTAAATACTTTACAATTTATTATTATTTAGAAACAGAGATTAGAAGGTATTCGTGAACATTCACCATTATTACAATAAGGTAGGCCTCTAGCCAGGCAAGCATTAGTTATTCCGAAAAGTGGTGTACATAATAATCTTGTATAACAATCAAAACAGCGCCGCAGAGGTCTTATTCTAAAGTCACAATAAGGAATTATAGTGGAACGGGAATCTTCAAAGTCAAGAGTCTCCAGTATCTCATCCTTAATCACCCATTCATCTGTATTTGCTTGAGATAATGCCCCAGAAAGGAACAACTGCAAAGAAGAAATGAAAGTTATTATAATTACTGAAAATAACTTAGTAGACCAACTATCCACCATGCATTGTTGGACAGATCTAGATAATTACTGGTTTTCTCTAATATACAGGGTGTCCCTGAAGTCGACGATCAAATGGCACCAGGTGATCGGCAAGGTTCCAATAGTTCTTAGAAAAAATTAAAAAAAATATCCATGTCAGATAGTTTTTAAATTACAATGACTGTGTTATCCACGAAAAAGTGCACCCTGTGCAGGTCTTTGGACTCTAGTTGTAGTCTGTATTTTTGCTTACATTATCCTGGATAGTGCTTCAATGTTACTGAATCACAAATTCTGAGCCAACTGCTTTAGTTTGGCTAGAGGAACAGATACTGTGCATTACATCTCACTAAAGAATATTTGACTTCAGGGACAGAGTATACAGATACTACAATCATATTATCATATACTAGTTGATGGGAGCTCTAAAAACTATTTAAGTAGTTAAGTACATATTGTAGGTACACTGTTATCGTACCTACAGTCACTTGAATGGAATTTAGTAAAATACAATGCAAAACCTATCGTTTGTAACATACACAGTTTCTCTTATATGTAGATTGTACCTATCTTAATCACATCGATAAAACACTTGTAGTAACACATAAGACACGTATAGTACGTTGTTATAATATTGAAACAGCATCAAAATAATTTTATTTATATTGTCTAACATTAGGAAGATATACTGCCAATAGATATAATAAAGAAGATTCTGCCCTTACAATGACAATTGACTTTGATTACTTCAGGTACAAATATCTCCCTTAGCTTCCTGTCATCAGTAATAATATAACGCACATTTAGAGCCGATTTCTCAATCATCAGTTAATATTTAACTCGTCGAGTACCGTCATTATAGACACAATTATAGAACAATAGGTTGCGGTCACCGATGACCGCTTGGTGTTTGACAGTTTAACTGTAGAATGAAATGAAATTAACATTTGAGTATGTAAGAATTGTCAAATGTTCAAAGGCATTCCCCACTTAAAATTTATCTGGAGTTGCAAAAATCGATCCTGCAATTTGTTGCAGGCAGTTTGCTGCCTACATCTTGAAAATGAGAGTGAGGTAGGTTATTGCAAGGGCATTACGTTATCCAAATGTCAGAGAGATTATAAGAAAATAGAATACTTACCAATACAGCAAAGATCAGAATATTTCGGACCAAACCCATTGTGTTGTATGTGTTTCCAATATCTATTGCAGTATCATTTTATACATCTTCCTTATCTTTATCTTCTTTATCATTTTCACACTATTTCCGTTCACTATATTATTACTCATATTTGACTCACATTTTCTTAAGTGGATTTATACGTTACATATTTTTGTAAGATTTTTTTACTAACATTCCGCCCGCGACTCCGCCCGCTTGAAAAGAAACTTTATCTCGAGTTTAATCTGGTTGGTTAAGTTAGTGGAACTGTATCTGGTTCCAATTCCAGACTAGTATTAGTGGTATCTTTTTTGTTTTTCGAAAATTCCTCAAGAATAAGAAATCTGCTCTATGTATAGCCCAATCATATAAGTCTCATTAGGTCCACCAATATGGCAATAGGCTCATCCCCTCTGACATAAGACTAATAACATATCTATTCGTACGTACTATATTTATGTTCTGTTTTTTTAAAAAAAACGTTGCCCTACACTAGGTTTTTAGCCTGTGCCGCGGGTGTGTTCACATACACATGACACCTAGTCCCGGAACAACAATTTGAGGATCTTACAAAGACACTCCGTGCGGGAATCGAACCTGCTACACGTTGTGCGGCAGCCGATGTCGTGGTGACCCGGAGGTTAAAGAACTCGCTTCTCATAAATAAGAGTAAGTTTGAAACCTACCAACGGCAAATACAAATATCACCTTTTACGAGTTATATGTACTTTCCAACATTATTAGGACACCATTGACAAACAGTTAAGGAAAACATCGTGAGGAAACCTGGGTTTCTAATTTCTAATTATAAGTCTAAAATCGCCAACGTACAGTGTATTGGATAAGCGTAGTTAAAATTTTAAAATATAGATATTTTAGTTCCTAGTTAATTTTATTGATAATTTTAATAAATTAATATTACCTTACCTATCTACATCAGAATCTACACTAATAGTATAAAGAGGAAAGATTTAATTTTTATTTGTTTGTTTGTTTGAATTGAATAGGCTCCGAAACTACTGGACCGATTTGAAAAATGTTTTTACGGTTAGAATCATAAATTATATCGATAATGAACTTAGGCTATATTTACTAAGAGAGAAAAAGAGAATCGTCTGAAAATGTTGTTAATGTATGATTATATAATACAATGTGTGAAAAATATACCAAAACGCTCCTTACATTGCTTAAGCCTTTGACTGCTAATAGAAAACTGTTTTCAATGACTAATAATTGTAGTTAGCTGCAACAGAATCAGAGATTTTAAAGGAAAAATATGAATTCAATTAACTGAATATATTTTATTCCTGGACTAGCTTCCGCCCACGGCTTGCTCGCGCTCCTATGAAGTATAGAGAGCAGCTTTACAAGAGATAAAAATATTTGATGACTGATGTTTTGTTGGGTGACCAACCCAAAATTGGTAATTACGAAATGTTCCACACTAACTTCCACTCCCTGTTTTAGGAAAGTGGTGGGTTAGAAAGAAACAAACTGTAGCCTTAATAATCCCTTTAACTAGATAACATAATTATATATATATGTAGTTGAAAACATTGAAAGTAGTATAGGCTACTTGCAATTTAAAATTTAATTTTATTAATAAAGATTCAATAAAAAAAAAACATCACGTCAATTTCTAACAAAACAAACATACACACACAAATTAATAATAATATATCTGACATATTTTTGACAAGTCAGTTTAATTCCAATGACAATTTTTTTCATCATGATATAACTTTATACTGAAGAGACTGAATACTTAATAAAAACTGAACCTTTTCGATTGAAATTCGGTACTGAAAAGACCGTATAATTGACATATCCCAGAAATCCCACGGGTCAGGAACTGCGTTAAACTTCTGGGATTTGAGTTGAATTCGGTATGACAATAATACGAATCTCGGAAAATGACACCTAATCTCGATTGGAAACTATTTGATTAGAATTCAAATGGAATTTTAATTATTTAAAACTCACGGAAATGGAATCGATTCTGATTACATTTGTTACACAGCATTGGAATTAACCTTGGAAAAGACTAATTAAAAATCCAAAATTTACCTGAAGTCATTATTAGGTATACGCAGACGAAGTCACGGGGCAGCAACAGCTAGTGTGTTATATGTGCGACAGCGGTTGCGACAGTCGTTGAGAGAATCCGGCAGTTGGGACTCGAGGTGGCGCTCCACAAGTCCGAGGCCATGTGTTTTCATGGCCGCGGGAACGCGCCACCTCCGGGTGGGTCCCAAATAACGGCGGGAGGAGTTACCATCGGCGTCGAGACGACGATGAAGTACCTAGGACTCGTCCTCGACAGTCGGTGGAACTTCATTGAACACTTCCGACGTTTGGCTCCAAAGTTGGAGAGGACGGGGGCTGCGTTTAAACGCATCCTCCCCAACCTCGGGGGGCCAAACGCCTCCTGCCGGAGGTTATACGCCGGGGTCGTGCGGTCCATGGCCCTCTACGGCGCCCCTGTTTGGGCGCCTAACCTGTTGCGGCGTCCCGCTCGGACGCTGCTCATGGCACAGAGGGTCATGGCGATCCGAATGATCCGCGGATACCGCACGATCTCTGGGGAGTCGGCGAACCTCCTTGCCGGATTACCGCCGTGGGATCTGGAGGCGAAGGTGCTCGCGCGCGTGCACAGCATGCGCGCGGAGGCACGTCGCCGGGGCGAAACTCCGCTGCCGCGCCAGATAAGTGCGTGGCGGGATGAGCTCCGGCGCGATCTCATGGCGGAATGGCAGCAACGACTGTCGCAACCGAGGGCTGGGCTCGCTGCCATCGCAGCGGTAAGTCCCCTCTTTGAGGAGTGGCTTGAGAGACGCTACGGCGTCCTCACCTACCGCCTGACGCAGGTCCTCACCGGACATGGAAGTTTCGGGAGGTACCTGTGTCTGATGGGGCGGGAGGAAACGCCCGGGTGTCATCACTGCGAGGACCGCCCTGAGGACACGGTGGAACACACGGTGGGAGAATGCCCTTCGTGGGCTGAGCACCGCCGTGTCCTCAGGGAAGTGATCGGCGATGGCGACCTCTCGCGTCCGGGCCTAGTGCAGGCCATGATGCGGAGCGAGGGGGATTGGGATGCCGTCTCCTCCTTTTGCGAAGCAGTCATGCTAGCTAAGGAGGAGGCGGGACGCGTGAGGCAGCGAAGCGCTGCCTCCTCGCAACCCAGCCATCGCGAAGGACACACCGGGCGTCGGGGATCGCGGGACGATCTCCGGCCACCGTAAGCGCGGGCCTGCGGACGGCGAGCATGGGTGGCTCCCCGTCCGACCAGAAACAGACCCGAGCGTACGGCGCGTCGCGTTCCGCGCGCGCCTCAAAGAGCCATCAGACCACCACAGATGGGGCCCAATAGGGCCGATGCCGATTCGGAGTCGCGGAGAACCTAACGGGTAACCGGGGCTCCGGCTCGACGTGCAGGAGAAGGAACGGGGTGGTTTTTAGTCAGTAAGAGTCTGACACTCCCTCCCGCCTCACCCAGGCGGGAGAAGTCATTCGATGATTTTCCCCCCTTAAAAAAAAAAAAAAAAAAAAAGTGTGTTATATGTACATATAAAAGACATAAATCAAAAATAAAAGAAGCAAAGTTATAGAATAAAATAAGATATTTATTTTTAGAAATATTTATACTCGTAGATACATATGCTATATTATAAATATAGTGTTACATATACACTCATTTTTTTTTTGTACATTTTGACCTATGAAAAGTTATAGCTAAAAGTTAGGAACAATTTAGCTATTTATATCTTCTTCTGCAAGAAAAATGAAGGAACATTAAGCTGATAAGGATAATATGAGTCCTTGTGGTAGATTCTGACATCCTTGAAGAAGACATTGGGTTGTCTGAAGTAAGCCTCGCGCACGGGGCGGTCGAATGGATATCCGAAGGGTTTGTTGTCCAAGATGTAACTCTCAAATACATTCTCTCCCTTCTTAACACTGTTATACGGGTAGGCGAACACAAACAGCTGGAATGGGAAACTGCCACGGGTACCCTTGGGCAGCATTAGCCTTCGTGGCATATTGTCGGGCTGAACTGACATGTCGTATGGTACCTTTCCTTGCTCCAACCACTCGTAGATCTCGTTAATGGGAACGGAGTCATCCTTGAAGAGCACAAACTCACTTGATTTGCGTTCGATCTTGTTCTCACCAGGCACAAGTTTCTGCACGAACCAGTCCAGTTCGTAGAACTTCATCCAGTCATCCTCGATGTTAACTGGGTAGCCATTGGCGTGATATTTAGGTCCAATGAAGATCTTAAAGACGGCATCTGACGCCACATCAGACTTAACATCAAGTTTAACGCTGAAAGGTTTGTGGTTAAGTCGTGGTTGACGGATAATGTAATTCACCGGATAGGCTTTGAGTTCTTCCTTACTGTAGAAGGCGCTGTTAGTGGCATTATAGTCGAAGTAGTCGAAGTAGGTAACTAATTCGCTCACTTGAACGTCGTTGATCTTAACACCCACGAAGTGAAGATCGTCGTGGTTGTACGGTTTCACGTACTGCTTGTAATCAATAAGGTAATCGATGATTCTCTGGTAAAGCTGGTAGAATGCAGGGTCGCGCAGAGAAGTCTGGTAGAAGTCCAATGCAGATGGCATGAAAGAGTACCTAGAACAAACAATGAATCACTTGGTCATAAAATTGTTTTAAACTGAGCTTTTTAACAATTTTTAAAACGTAATTGTTTCATTTAGAGGTTTATTATGTTATTTATCTAACTAGTTTTATTACTAACTGAGACACTCACTTATCGAATGGCTTGGGGCTAGCACCAAGGACGTGACGAGCAATGATTTCATAAGAATACTGATGCAGGTCCTTGTTGCTCTGCTCGGCGTATAAGTCGGAGTTCATATGCCAGTAGTTGCCGACGTAGTTCATTTCCTTCTCGGGCTGAAAGGATAAGAATAGAGGTTTTATGGTTTATATTAACCACACATAAACAAGGATAATATTTTAATGTTCTATGATTGTCATACTTACAGATTTAAACTCAGCCTTCTGCAAGAATTGGAAGAATGTCTTCTCGTAAGTGTCCAGGAAACGAATGTATTCGTAATTCTTTTCATTGTGGAGATTGTAATCGTTGCTTCTCTGTACGAAAGGTGAGACAACTGAATACAATTGAGGATAGTATCCAGACTTGAAGTTAGAGTACCACGAGAATTTAGGAATTTCACCCAAGCCATGGGGGAGACGTTCCAAATAGTAACGAGCCAAAAGCTGTTGGTAGTAGTAGAAGAAAACTTCACCGAGACGGTCCTTCAATACACTCCATTTTTCAGACTTCCACCAGAAAGGCATCTGTGAGTGGAAGTAGAAGTAGTACGAGTTCAAGCCGATATCTTCAGTGAAGTACGACAGTTTCTGTTCCTTGTTTGGGTAACTCAAGGAGTTAGAGTAGTTTGCATAGATGATGTAGTTGTTGTTTTCTTTCACCATGCCGTATTGGGCAGCAACTTTTTCATTTATAAAGCCATTTTGCATTTTTACGGAATATAACCTTGACTGAACGTCTTTGTTCATAAAGAACTGAGGATAGACTTCATAAGGTGCTGGAAGAACAATGCCTGCAGTATCTTTTCTTTGGACGATAGCAATGTAGTATGCGTAAAAGAACTGTTCTTCGTTCATGTGGACCTTAGCCCAGGCTGCAGTTTTGTAGAAGGTTTCAAAGTCCTTGGCATAGTACAAGACGTGGAACAGAGCGATGGCTTCATCCCTCATCCGTTCATAGAAGATGGAAAACTTGTAGTATTTTGGCAGAGTTCCAGTTCTGTACAGCAGCAAGAACTCTTCGACGGCTTGTTTGTTCTGTAAATGATAAACATTACAAGGTTAATCAGATAAATAGTGATGAAATTTCCTGATTAAGTTTCTACATTTTTCCAATCTTTTAAGTAACTCACCGAGTAGTTTTGAAGGTTTGCTTCGATGTCATAGTCCTTGCCAACTTTGTAATAGTCAGAATAGTAATCCGGCTGATTGAAGTGTTCGAAAAGTGCCAAAATCTTCTTCTGGTACTCAACGAATTTGGATTCCACTGTGAACATAAACATTTTTACAACAATGGATCTTAGTTCGAATCATGACCTGATATACATCTATTTACTTTCCTTGATCAGAATGATTTACATATCTTTGTGGAATATTGTCTCGTTTTTCTTGAGCTTACTAGTATGCATAAAATTTATAAGGTCTCGAATTTTTGGGTTTTAAATAATTTTAAAATCAACATAAAGCCCGAAATGGTGCTCAGAAACAATAAAAACACTTTATAAAACTATAGACGACAAAATTATCAACAAAAGTCAACTATAAAAAAAAACAGAACCATTGATCGTTAACGTTAAGTTAGATTACCCAAAAATACAGTCTCTCCACCACGTATCTTTGGGAGTATCATAACGTAATTACGATGTAAACAAATAATAATAGGAGAATTTATTCTTACCAGCCTTCAATTTGATTTCATGATGGTGTGGGACGCTTCCCATCACCAGGGCGACGAGCCCGGCAAGGAATAAGACAGTCTTCATGGTTGCCTCTACCGCTGACAACTGTACCGCTATGAGGCTTCATACTCTTTTTATACTACTAGCGCATCCCGTTCCTGAATGCACTCGATTATCAGCTTAAAAAATATTTTGCGTTCTTTATCATCGCATTTTACTATCTACCGTGACCCTTGACTTCATGTGGTACTTTTTCTTAGCATATTGACTATCGTGATCTGTAATTTATTTATTATAGTAGGAGACCCCACGACGCTTAATTTCGATTCCGACAATTATTACTGAAACATTCATCCTATTCGATCACAGGGATTTTAAAGATTTAATAATAGAAGTAAATGAAGTCTGTTAAAAATGGTTTATGACATCATCTTCCACTAGTGGATGAATAGAGTATCAAAAATTCTTAAAAATTTTAAGCGGAACTTTTATTTTCGTGCAATTATGACAAATATTGATAGTGTATGTACTAGTGTACAGACGTATTTATGTATATCTCAAATCTGCCGATTTGCATGGTGGTGTTGAGTAGGGAGAAACGATAAATCTCCAGACCCGGTAAGAGTTTTACTTTTATAAATTATGTACAAATCGGCACTTTTTAAATGCGCTACCTTTAACATTGTAATCGACCTCTTTTTCCATAATTTGATGAAACTGCACATTATTCTAAAACATCATTAACTGCACTGAATTAATATTCAGAATAATGTAAGGACAGTTAATTTTGTGTATATATTTTTTTCGTTTCCTTTATCTAAATTAGATGTTACTATAGTGGTTATAATATTTAATAGCACTCGAGGAACTACCGAAATCCGTTCCTGGGCTCCTTTACTATTATAAGAGAACAGCATAATAAAAACACTTCTAACGTTATTTGTTCGTCACCAGGTTGTACCCATAATCGTTCTTAGACCTTTTAAATATTCACAATATGACGAATTCCTATTATCATGGGACAATAGAAATGTTATGGAACAAGAAATACAAAATAAAACGAGATTCCCATACAAGAATTGGCTGCTTGTGTTGCTATATAACTATTTAAAGGGATCTCTGCATTTTGCCATTTTTATACGGAGTCTTTAGGCGCTAATTCACATTGGTGGATGTTTTATACCTCTATTATTTCATTTTGAGTGTTAATCCACTGGACATTCACAAAAATACTATGATTAAGTTTACTCAGCTCTGAAGGTATCTCATAATTTAAACAAAATGCAAGTATGATTTTGCAATAATCGCCAAATACATATAGTCAAGAGTTGCATCATAATTTACAAGTGCCTATCTGTCTACCTACCTACTTCACCCAATATAATGAGATCATTGACCGGTCAGCTCCTGTTCGTATTATGCTTTGTTTATATTCTTTAACACCATATTAACATGGTACATACTTATGGGCAATCATAGCGCACATGGCGATTTCTTACAGGCATCATTTGGAGTTTATACCTATATGTTTCACTACTTAAACGATATAGTTAATCCTTTGTTTGAATTTCATTGCAGTCGGGTAAAAAAGGTATATAATTATTCTATTTCTGCTTAAGGAACTTCATACTTATAATATATATCCTCCCTTTCAATAAGAATTTAAGAAAATATAAGTTACATTTAATGACGATTTTTATTTTCTTATCTTCTTTTGTTAAGACGTGGTTAAGACTAATATAAAATAATAGCTACGTCTGCGTGATTTCACCCTCTCTACTCGGCTCCTATTGGTCGCAGCGTAATGTTTTATAGCCTGTAGTCTTCCTCGATAAATGTACTATCCAACACAAAAATAGTTATTCAAATTGGATTAGTAGCTCCGGAGATTAACGCGTTTAAACAAACAAACTGTTCAGCTATATATAATACTAGCTACTTCCGCGCGGTTTCACACGCTCTGCTCAGTTCCTATTGGTCGTAGCGTGATGTTTTATAGCCTATAGCCATCCTCGATAAATGCACTATCCAACACAAAAACAGTTATTCAAATCAGACTTGTAGTTACGGAGATTAGCGCGTTCAAACAAAAAAACAAACTCTTCCTCGTTGGCCGAGTGGTCGCAATTACGACTGCCGGGCAAGGGGTCTCGGGTCCAATTCCCGGGTTGGGCAAAGTACATCTGGGTTTTTTAAAAAATCTCAGTAGTAGCACGGAGTCTGGAATTGTGCCCGATATATGGCAATTAGCTCACGCCCTTATTACATGGGACTCATAACATAAATAGTGAACAGTGGATATTGCATTGTACAGTGGCATTACGTGCCGTAATGTGCACCTCAGCCTACCCCTTCGGGGATAAAAGGCGAGATGTTATATATAAGTATAAGGATAAGAGTATAAAATTACATAACATACTTCGGAATACATTTGTTATTTTACAACGAGGAAGTTTCTATCCGCAAGTGGGTACTTCAGTAACATATCAATGAGTTTAATCATTCAATTTTAACTTTATATATTTACCAGTACTTGTCAGATTATGATATCCTAATTGCGTTTTGCTTAGGGCTCCATAGGTCACAGCGGTCACAGAATTTACAACATAATTTTAGAGTAACGATGAAGTTCCTTACTCGTACACCTTCATTCGTATCTACATTTTGGAATGTTCTTTCCACCACCTAGCTTCACTCACATATTCACTGATGTACTGTTCCCTATTTTTGTAACGTATCAAAAGTTCCTGTGTATGATTTTGTTGAAATATAATACTTTTTTACTCATGACTAGAGTATAAAGTCGCTAAAGTATGTCACTTACAACTGGCTAATCTAGAAATTGTTAAGAATAGTCTTTGTTCTAGCAGGCGTCTTGTAGCTGATATATGTAATAATAATGATAATAATACCTATATTTATTTAAAGAAAGCTGATAATTTATCGCCCCGACTACTTACGAACCTTACTATACATATCGAGTTTTATCACAAATACTTAAGCCCCAGGCTTATCAGCAGTCTTTTAATGAAATATAGGTAACACAAGGCTACGTTGTACTTTTTTAATGAAACTGAAGTAATAACATCATCATCATCGTCCTTCGCTTTTGCGTTGTGTATTGAAAAGGACTGTGATTGATTAAAATATTACCTATTTAGCCTAAACTCGGTACCAGTGTGACACTGATACCGAGTTTAGAAAAGGAGTACAAGACATAGGTCATAGAGGCCCGGATGTTTAGACGTCCGCTTCTCATGTGTCAGGGTAACAAATTGTATGTATGTTTCATCGGACCACTACAGACGGGGCCCAACAGGGCTGATGCCGATACGGAGCCACGGAGGGCTTAACGGGTTGCCGGATCTCCGGCTCGAAGTGCAGGAGTAGGAAGGGGGTGGTTTGTAATATGAAAGAGTCTGACACTCCCCCTCGCCTCACCCAGGCAGGAGAAGTCATTTGATGGTTTTCCACCCTCAAAAAAAAAGGGGTAATGTAGTTTCTGTGAAGAATCGTGGGCTTTATTTATTTAATTATTTAATTCCCAATGTGCCTTGTTCAAACTTTCTCCATGCGAGAAGAGGCGTTTGCGCAAGAGTGGGCACTTATAGGCTGTTGATGCGTGATGTGTGTAATATTAACACTACCATTCTGGATTCCTTGCGACTACAGAAAATTTTAAAAAAGCTGACAGGACCACGTAATATGCGTGTACCGCTGACCGGGAACCGATCCCATCTTTTTTATGGCAGATGTTCTTGTGACATCTCCTCCAACAAGGCACTACAACAAGACCAAACAAGAAAAGGCCCTCCAACAAGGTCTAATAAGTTTAATATGTATGCTGATCTCCTTTTTACCGACCTCAAAAAAGGAGGAGGTACTATGTTCGGCTGATTGATTTTTTTCCTTTTGGGAAATCGGTTCCCAAATGGCAGAGCTGATTACTCAAAATTTTTAATATAGTTGAAAGGGTATACTCCCGAGATGGTCTCATTTCCATGAGGTCAGGATCTGATGATGGAATCCTAGGGAAACCGAAGGGAACTTTCAAAAATTGTAGGGCGAGTAATGTGTCTGTTATGGTTTTCAATTAGGATTTTAAACACTACAATTTGATAAGGGTCTGGATGATGATGATGATGATGATGATCTGATGATGGAGCCAATAGACAGTCGATAGAACTCCTCAACAGTTATTATTTTTAACTACCTTGTGTTTGGGCTTGATCAATTTGTATTGATGAGATTTTACACGTAACTAGAGTAGGACTGTCATTAAGGGTCTGATGATGAAGTAGTGTAATTATTAAGGGAACTCTTCAACGGGTTATCGTAACTACCTTGTGTTTGGGCTTGTATGATTTTTATTGATTAGAACTTGGCACCTATGTAAATTATAAGTAACAAAACGGATCTATGTAGCTTTACGCCGAAAATGACAAAATAATAAAATAAAAAATTAGTACTGATAGGATACCCACCCACTGATATGATAAGCTCATCTTATATTGATATAACTTAATGGCCACCAAATTGTAAATTAGGTATCTATTAAGGTTTTAATGAATATTTTTTATTTATAGAACTTATGACGCCGAATTCTAACCTATCAGTGGGTGGGTAACCTATCAGTACTAATAAAAATTGTCAGTAGTAGCACGGAGTCTGAAAACGTCTTCGGTTTACGGCAATAGGCTCACCCCCTATTACATGGGACTCATAACATAACATAGTAAAAATAAGTGTAACATTGTACAGTGGCATTGACGTGTCGTATGTCTAAACGTGGATCCATGCGAGACACAGTGTTTACCCGACTGCCAAAGAAGGAGGGTAATGTTTTTCGAGTGTATGTAAGTATGTATGTATGTCTTTTCCTTTGTGACCACCTGTAGCCTAAACGGCTTGATGGATTTTGATGTATGAGGTATCGTTAGATTTGTCTTGATTACGGGAGTGTCATAGGATACATTTTATCCTAAAAGTCCCACGGGATAAAGACATAATAATATTTTTTCTAAATTTCCCTTTAAAAAAATATGTATGCGGTATCATTAGATTCATTTCAATCACGGGAGTAATTAATATAGGATACGTTTTTTCTCAAAATTCCCA